GGGGCCCTCGCTACAGTTCGGACTCGATTTTGTGTCACAGTTCTTAATCTGAACCAAAGAGTCCAAATCCGGCAAATCGTTTTGAGAAACAGATTTTTGAAAAGAAGTGCCAAACATGGACTGCTTTGCCAGATACAGAGTCGCCACCTAAATATTTTAAAATGGGGGAATTTAGGAAACCCTGACTCGGTGCCAAAGGCCACGTGTCCGTCATCACCAAAGTTGCCTTGGCTCGGGAACTTGGGTACGATCGGAGAAGGTCAGCTATGAGCACCCCCTCTCGCCCGGTCCGAAGACCGGCCTCTACTAACCGTGATATCCGTTTTTGAAAACGCTATGTGTTTTTATTCCATTTATTAGCCTACAATTACTATGTTATGCGCACAGCACACAAGTATAGACTAGATTGCCTAATTTGGAAATAAGCATTGCATATCCGTTTGTCTTGAAAAACACTTTGGAATTTGCTACTCGCAAGTAGGCTAAAATACGGATTTCAACGAGTTTTTCCAACTCAGACAATCCAACCTTCACCCACAGGCAACCAAACAGTTTATCACATAAGCATCTAGCCACATGGTAAGCATGCTGTCATGATAGCATTCACACGCATGCGATATGCTAAAGCATAAATGCTTACCGAGTACTCCGAGCCAAAACAATAAACTAGTTAGCCAACATGCATGGTCCTAGTTCATGTCAAATTGACTAATGCAACGCATACAAGATGCAATTAGAGTAGGCTCGGCTAACCTAAGCATGGCATGTGAAATGCGATCAATTGATGCACGTATTCAATTTGGAATTGAAGTACAAATGCAGTTAGCATGATGTACCGAGCCTGGTGCATGCAAGGCAAATGTATGAATGCACGCATGCTAAGCATAGGGTATGCTAATTTAAATATGCCCTAGTCTACCATCATAAGCGGGTAAATAAAAGAGAAGAAAGACGTGGGGTTGGAAGACATACACACACTTATTACACAATTGCCCTCACTCGGAGGGTCCAAATAAATATTACAGTCCGAATAATAAACACATAAATTATTACAAAATTTCTAATTACTTAACAGAATAAGTGCAAAAAAGAAGACAGGTGGCCACAGCCCCCGCCTCGGGATGCGCGAATGATGCATGCTCGAACCCGTCTCGCCCGGAAAGTCTGTACCATGCCACTGCTGCCTCTGTTTACACTGCCCTGCTTCTCTGAAAATTGTCAAAGTTCTGGGATAGGTCCCCTAAACACTGTGGAACATCATCGGCTGGAGGAGATGTCCACCGGTCATTGAAAATATCCATCGGCTGTTTATGAAGCTATCGGCCCAGGAAGGATTGCCAATCGGCACTGGACACTGCTGGTCGGCAGAAAGTTCCTGCAGAATCTGGTTTTTGACAGCAACAAGGACAGACAGTGTATGGCATGAAATTTCAAACAAGTGTATGCATGGCTACTCTCCCAATCATGTAACGGACTCAAGGGAGTACGGCCTTTAACCCTCGGGCTATCAATTGTGCATTTGATGCATGATAGCCTAAGGAGCCAAGGTTGCAATTTGATGTATAAATGCATGCAACACACAAATGAGGACCAAGAGCCTATCATGCCAAAGTCAAGGGCCTCGGTGACCGAGGGTTGAGGTGTGTTTTGTCACTCGAAGTACAAACGCCCCTCATCCCTCACACTTGGTTTGACACCCCAAACCAAGCAATGCAATACATGTTATGCACACATGGCTCAAAATGTAACATGATACTAAAATGCAAAACATGCCAAATGTGATGCAATCTATCATGTTAAGTATGCAAAATGCTAGTCCTATGAGATGCAAATGTGATGCAAACATGGACCAATATGCCATAAGGCTAGCATGGGACAACATATGATGAACCAAATAAGCAACAAGCATATGATAAGCATGCAATGGTGGACTTAAACTATAAATGGCAGACCTCAACCTTGCCATAAACAGTGGCCAAAATGATGTACAAAAGCACAAATGATGCATGCAAGCATGCACACATCAAGGTCCACCACCTAAGCATGAAAGGGGACAACTCTAAGCATACTTAGAGGCGATATAAAAGGGCATTAAACCAACATGCTAGGCTCTGAAAATGAATAGAGGATGATGCCAAATCGAACAAATCATGCAAGTAAGGCATGCAACAATGACTACTACTTGAAGCCAATAAAGGGGGTCAAACCAAAGCTATGTCAACCAAACCTTAAAGGACCAAAATGACCCAAAGCAGTCCCAAGGGACTCCAAAACAAGACTAAAGCATGCATAGATCATGGTCAAAACATGCCAAGGAATGAGTCCAAAACAAGGGCATACAAGGCCACCAAAAGGGAGCATCACTCAATACTTATCCCAAGCAAACATGGCATGAATTTTTCAATACAAAACAGAGTTCTAGTATGCAAAAATGGCCCTCAAAACCCACTGATATGGCAGCCTAATATCTAAACACATGGGCATGCACAATGACCATTTCCAAGGCATAAAAGGACAACCCTTCAAAGCATGAAAGAGATAATGAAGACAAACATACAAGCATGGATTAGGGATTGAAATATGATCTACCATGATGTCAAATGATGATAACAAGCTTATGCTAAGCATGTTGGTGACCCATACAACCAAGGCTTACAAGCCGAAATGCAAAGCAACTATATCAAGCATGCCAAACATGACAAAATCAGTAGCCAACAGACTTTAAGCATGACAAAATATGGCCAAATACTTCACAAAGTTAAGTCAAAACAAGAGGATATGCTAGGCTAAACATATAGCACACTTCTAGGCAAGATGGAGAATTACAAAGCAAGTATAAAATGCATGCTAAGGGCCAACAAACCACCATTGGACAGAGATATAATATGACCCAAAACACCCAAAAAACTTCTGAAATGGGGCCAAAAATAATCAAGCATGCATGTTGCCCTTTTAAGCCAAAACAAAGGTAAAAGAAGGACAAAGGGGAGAGGGGTGTCCCTCCCCTTTACAAGACTTCAAAATCAGTCCATCACCACTGAAAATCCACTGGATTTCAGTGGTGAGAAGACCAACACGACAAAGGTCAACAAGGCTTAAAGAAAAGGCACCAAAAGAGGCCAAAAGAGGCCTAAGAAGGGGAGTTCGACCCCCAATGCCAAAACGACCTCAATGAGATGTCTTAAGCATGAAAATACAAAGCTTTTTTCAGTTATACACAAAGCCTAAAACAGAAAGAAAGATAGGTCAAAAGCCAATGCAAGATCGGGGAAACTGAAGTAAAGTTATTACCCTTGAAAACCTTTGAAGAACAGTTGGTCCAGCCACCCTCTATTGACCAAAACTAGTCCAAAACCTCAACAAACAACCCTTAAAGTCCCTCAAAGTCGAAGTAAGGTGTGGTAGTGTGTGTGTTAGTGCAAAACTAAGGTAAAAATGCACTTTTAGGCCACAAAACACACACAAGGGAGGAGAGAGAGGGAAATATGTAGAGAGAGAGTGTGTATGTATATGTATAAGCTCTAGTTTTTCTTTCAAAATTGCCAACCAAAAAGAAGGAGGACAGCCCTCCTCTTATAGAAGTCCCCCTTGCAAAGCTTACCAAACAAGCTTGCTTAGAGGGAAATCCCTCCATACACGTGTATGGAGGGGAACAGAGTGGGTGCCAGCTATCACAGCTGGCACAAAATATCTACTAAAAGTAGATGAACAGTAGTCGGCTGCTCAAAATTGCCATTTTGACAAATGGACTGCCGACCGGCAACAAAGAATGCCGACCGGCAATATACATTGCCGATGGCAACAAAACACCAGCCGGTGGCCTATGGCCATGGCCGGTGATGTGTGGGGATACCTCACAAGTCATTCCCTGCCCCTCCAAGGCAAAACACAAGTGTTTGGTGCAAAACCAGACACTAAACAGTCAAGTCGAGAGATCCTGAGGCAAGGCGCGCAAGCCGAGACCTCCGGGAACTCAAGACGAACACAAACATGGATGATCACCGAGTGTTCAAACGGTGACGTCCAAGTCTTGAGGACGGTAAAAAATGGGGTGTCTACACCAGCCCTACCTCCTTCCGAAATCCTCTTTGCTATCCCAACATTCTCCTGTGGATCACTGGGTTCCAACCACCTTGCTCCGTCTTCCGAAAAAATTATCCAACGAAGGCCGACAAATTTAAAAGTAGGATGTTGATATTTTTAAGTGTTCAATTCGAGCTTACATTTGTTGGCTTTCTTAGAAAGGAGATAACTCAAATCAACGGCATGATGGTTACTGTATTCACTAGTTGATGTAAAAGTGAATTGAAATTGTTGTAGATATGAAAACTGATGATCATGGGTGTTGATGAGTTTGGTGATGGCTGTGGGATGGAGATTGGGTACTGATTTGGTGGTGATGGGTTTAGTAGTTGTGATAGAGGTGGACATGGTGTTAGTGGTAGAGATTTGGGGGTTGAGGTGTTTGGTGGCAATGAGGCAAAAGTGGTAGAGTTTTGGTGGGTTATGGTGGACTGTTTGAGCGACGAGAGAAATAGTTGGTGGTGAGTTTGTAGCTTTGGGAAGAAGGGTCAAGTATTAGGGGGTGTAGTCACAGAGGATAATTAGGTAAGGGTAATAAGGTAATTTTATATTTTCTATTAACTTAGTTAAATGGCAAACATTGACAAGGGGTGCAGTGTAATTTTGAAAAGGTGAAGGAGAAATCTGTATTAAATCCAAATCTCAAGGGGTGTCAGTGTAATTTACCCTAAAATTTTTTTAGTTTTTAGTTGTCTACTAATATCAAAGTTTTTCTTCTCTTATATTATTAATGGTAAAATGTAAATTGTGAATTTGTAGTCTTGTTTGCTAATAAAATTTTTTCTTCTCTCTTATTATTAATTAATAATAATGGTAAAATGTAAATTTGGAATTTGTTTTCTTGTTCATAACTTTTTGGTTACTACATTGAGAGCTGAATATTAAGACAGTTGAATATTTGCTTTGAAATTTCAATGATTTGTGATAGTTGATATTGAAGAACATTGTTACACTCTAAGATTTCACATTTGGACTAAACTTATAGGCAATTCTTGTAGTTTTTATATCAATAATACAGTACATACAACTCTTAGATTACATTGCATGGTGTAGTTGGAAAACAGAAACATAGAAATACAAGAACTAACATATAGATGATATTAGGCATACTTATATTACAAGTAAACATTTGAAATTAAGCATCGGACCAAGTTATACCCAAATCGCCCCAGTTATCTTGAGGGACACCTAAGGCTTTCCACACAGCTTTTGAAGCATCAACGATGTTGTTAGGACACGGAGGTTGGTAATCATGGTCTTGATCACATCCCATAGTTGAGTCACACTCATCGACCACCATGGCCACCACACTCCGCCCGTTAGCACTGATGGTGATGTTGTTGTGGCACCGGCTGCCTCCTTTGTACCATCCAGTTGATAATGCCACAACTGGCAAGTCATCAGAGTGATAGTTACCATCACATTCACTCGGACCTCCACCATCTCCACCTTTTTGAAAGCTGTTAATAGTGAGGGTTGCCTTGGTTTGGCTAGAAACTGCTGGAGAACACTTGTATGTTGTGTACATTTTTCCTTGAACACAACAATCCGAGTCATTCTCTTTGTTGCATTGGCCCGGAGGTGGTTTCTTTCCCATTATTTTCCCACTTGGGCTACAACCCTGACCCTCAACATCCAAACAAGCTGTAAATAAGAGACATACTAGTAGGAGAGCAGATGTTTTTGAGGAAAAACTCTTCATTTTTTTTCTCTCTATTCTTGTTTTGAACTTTGAAGGCTTGGTGTAGATAATGTGTTTCAAGAGGGTATTAATAGCAATTTCCTTGGGGAATTAACCCATATTCTGATCTGTATTTACGAAAGTACTGGCCACTTGTGTTGTGGTGATATGGTTCCAAGAAGGGTATTTCATTAATTTGCGAAAAAGTTTTGGGGTGATTAGCTAGTGGGATTAGCTAAGAAAGAACAAGAAAAGTCATATCAAATGTAAACGTGCTTGATGGTTTCAAATGACACTAATAAACTAATAAAACTGACACGGATTGATGAATATCTTATTTTGTAGTAGAGAAAAAAGAGAAAAGAAGGGTCATAGTCTTGAGTTCAAAATATTTTGTTTAAAGACAAGTATGCTACAAATTTGTCTTCAACATCAATACTAGGTGAAATCAAGTAAGGTGCTCATTTTTTCATCAGATGTAAGGTGCTCAGACGGACTAATTATTATTCACATGATAGTATTAGTTAATAGCGTAGTAAAATTTTTGTTTATGAGTGAGACAATGTAATATTTGGTGCAGCCATCAACATCATAAACATTTTGGAGTAAAATTAGTTAAACAATATAATATTCCTACTAATTAAAATTATGTTGTTCATGTGCTCCTGATTTGTTGACATGATTAAAGAAAAAATAATAGGTAAATTTCGTGATCAAGCTTGAAATTTAGAAAAAATATAATAAAATTTAAAAGTTTGTTGTAATTACATTGATTTTTCCTTTAGTAAAGCTAAAATGACCAAAATTAGTCAAAATAGTGGGTAGACATATGGATAAATAAAATAAAAATTTTAGTGAGAGTTTCAAAATTACTAAAATGTACCTGTAATTTATCATTTTTAATTTTAAATTATCTCTATTTTTATTATCCTTTAGTTTTGAACCTTGCTTTTATTTCCCCTCTTTATCTATTTTGCCAATTAGTAAAATATTTCGTGTATGGTTCTCAATAAACTTTTGTCTTGGACAAAAATCCTAACTCCCCTTACCTCTACCAAGCAATCTCACATGATCCAATGAACTATGATATACTGGATATCCTAATAACATTAATGATATTAAGGTTGTGATAATTTCTTATCTGGATATATGTACAAGGATGAAACCATCTCAAAATGAATTAGAGCTTTGACACTTGTTGGAGTCTTCAAAGAACCCTATTTGCCGACACACTTAGAACATGGTCAATACTGCCTGGCCGTAGCTTGGTCTCTCTCTAATTAATGCTTAACTAAGAGCATCTCGCTATTTTATTTCCTCTAACGGGTTAATTACTAAGTGTGCTGCTATAATTCTGTAATTCTCTGTTGTTTTCTCCTTCCTTTCTTTTTGGTTCTTTTGATTGGTTTCTCACCAATCTTGGGTTAAGTGCTAGCAAAGAATTGTGCTTCCTTATCGGTCCCGACCTAGTTGGGATTCGTAAGGTTAGTTATGATACTCTTTGCACTTCCCTTCTTTATTGATGTAAGTTTTCGCATGTATCTTGTTTTCTTCATTAATAAAGTTTCTTTTGCTGATAAAAAAACAAAAAACGGTTTAATTACTACACTAGTTATTTTAACAATTACAATTATTTTCCAAGCTAGCTATATTTGGAGGCTCTCCAAAGACTTTTTAAGCAGTTTGTATGAATAGACAAATAAAATAAATACAAACATTAGAGCACATAGTTGAAAAAGTAGTTAGATAAAATAAAGAACATTCCTTCTTTGTACTTTAATTAATCAAAAATAAATAGAAACGTCAGAGTTGCTCTACGTGATTAGAGTAGAGAAAGAGAGGAGGAAGAAGAATATAAGAGTAATGTCAGTAAAGTTAGTGACAATTGTTGGGTTCAACTCGGTCGGGTGGTCTGCACAAGCTCGAACAACTTTGTCCCACAGGCCCAATAGCCCAGTTTGGTTGAATCCACTTCAATATATTATTTCCTCACTTTTTACAAAAATAAATGAAAGTGCAAAAGTTAACATCTGTTAGGTTTTTATTCTTGGCAGCCCCGTTTGACAAAACTCCTTTCAGATGTATTTATTTTCGCACTTTTATTTCAGTGAGGCTATGAGTTTATTAGATGCGAATCCAAACCCGAATCGAACCATGCAGAGAAGTTTGTGATGTTAATACTTTCAAGATTGCCACTTCGTTGATTATTACGGGGGTCGAGCTGCCCGGTCAGCTCGCGGCCGAAGCAAAATGCAAAATTGCATTCAAAATTGCATGTCGCAAGAAGTGACGCTCGAGCATAAGAGCAAATTATGGGCAACAAGGTTTTTGAAAAATAATATACTAACTTGTTCCAAACACAACCAACACATCCTGATAGTCAAACTCAAGGAGGTATAAGGAAAACAAGATGACCAACAATACGAAATCATGAAACCTGAGTCCAGAATATCAAATAGGTCGGATCTAAATCAGAATTGCTATATCGTCCAAATTTACAACACTAATAAGGGAGTTAAAAGTTACATGATTAAAATTAAAGCTTCGCTCGAGCGAGCCTCAGAATCCGGATTTCTCAAGGAGTTTGTTTTCTTCCCAATCTAGGATTACTTTTGGTTCTTTATAAATACTTGGTTTTCTCCCAAAACTAAGGGATTGATTGAAGTCCTCCAGATCTTCTTTTTGGTTCTTAAGGTTTATGTCTGGGGATATTTTGTTTATTTTCTTTGATGTTTTTATTGAGTCTTCAACTCATGATTTAAAGAGAGTACATCAAAGGTTTGTTTGTTATACACAAAAGAGAGAGTTATTCTTCAGTTGTGGATTCTGAAGAATTCGAGCCTGAAGCTTTGGTGGAATCCAGAGTGGCTCATCAGAAAGACAATTCCGTGGTGAAGATGGGGTTGGAAGAGGCACATAAAGGTTGGTTCAATTAGGCGTTGTGGATTCGCTAGGTAATTGAGAGTATACCTGTGTAATTCCTTTAAATCTTCTTAGTGGATTGTTTTGTGGCTGTTGCCCGTGGTTTTTTTATCACAGTTGGAGGTGTCCAATTGTGGTTTTTTCCACGTTAAAATCGTTGTGTCTCTTTGTCTTGATTGTTTGATTGTTTGATTGGGATTGTTATATTCTGCTTAAAATTGATACATAATCACAAATCAACATCTAGGGGATTTCTAGATTTTTCAATCACCATTATATTTATCTCATTCCTTATGATGTTCTACTTACAAGATGGTCATCACCAAAGTTTATGATCCAGAAAGCTAAATTCAATTTCTAATTCAAAAATTTGATACATTATTAATGTATATTAGATATTCATTTTTTTGGTAAATTGTTTCTACATTCCATATAGTCTAAACTTGCTAGAGAAACTTTTTTTTTATATTAAATAGTATTTGTAATACATATCATACAAAACACAACTCTTAGACTTCATTCATAGTATTAGGAAAACAAATCACACAGACAACTACTAATACAAAGAGGATAATATTACATATAAATACTCATATCACAATTTGAAATTAAGCATCGGACCAAGTTATATCCAAGTCACCCCAGTTATCTTGAGGGATACCCAAGGCTTTCCACACAGCTTTCGAAGCATCAACGATGTTGTTAGGACACGGAGGTTGGTAATCATGGTCTTGATCACATCCCATAGTTGAGTCGCACTCGTCGACTACCATGGCCACCACACTTCGTCCGTTAGCGCTAATGGTAATGTTGTTGTGGCACCGACTACCTCCTTTGTACCATCCAGTTGATAATGCCACAACTGGCAAGTCATCGGAGTGATATTTGCCATCACATTCACTTGGACCACCACCATCTCCATCTTTCTCAAAGCTATTAATAGTGAGTGTTGCCTTGGTTTGACTAGAAATTGCTGGAGAACACTTGTATGTTGTGTACATTTTGCCTTGGACACAACAATCCGAGTCATTCTCTTTGTTGCATTGGCCTGGAGGTGGTTTCTTTCCCATTATTTTCCCACTTGGGCTACAACCCTGACCCTCAACATCCAGACAAGCTCTAAATAAGAGACATACTAGTAGGATAGTAGATGTTTTTGAGGAAAAACTCTTCATTTTTCTCTCTGTTCTTGTTTTGAACTTTGAAGTCTTGATGTAGATAATGTGTTTCAAGAGGGTATAAATAGCAATTTCCTTAGGGAATGAACCCATATTCTGATCTATATTTACGAAAATACTGGTGACTTGTGTTGTGGTGATATGGTTCCAATAAGGGTATTCCATTAATTTAGGAAAAAGTTTTGGGGTGATTGGCTATTGGGATTTGCCAAGAAAGAACAAGAAAAGGCATATCAAACTGTAAACGTGATTGATGGTTTCAAATGACACTAATAAACTAACATAAATGACAAGGCTTGATGAATATTAGCTTTAATTTGCAGTCTAATTATGTAGCAAAAGAGCAAAAAGAGAAAAGAAGGGTCATAGGCTTGATTTCAACATCTTTTGATTAAAAGACAAGTATGTTACAAATTTGTCTTCAACATGAAGATAGTGGACATAATACAAGCAGGGGGCGTTTGTTTCATGAGGCATGTGATTTGACTCTATATTTAGGCCTCGTTTGATAATTTTAGCTTAAAAATTCAAAAGTTATTAAAAAAATCAAAAAGTCAACAACTTATACCAAAATATCAAAGATTTCATTTTCTCTCTATTTTTTGCACATCTTTTCGTAAAAAATCAAAAAGTTATCTCAAAAATACTAGTTTTGTTTACATCATATTTTAGCTAAAAAGTTAAAAAGTTACTAAAAAAGTCTGTTATCAAACGAGGCCTTAATTTATTTACTAGTCCATTATTTGGTTATAAAAATAAAATTTTGATTAATAGTCAAATACATATCATTTCATCTAGTTCGTTCAAACAAACGCCCCCGTATAAGATGAAATCATGTAAAGTTCATACAGACTAATTATTATTCACATGGTGTTCTTAGCTAATGGCGTAGTTAAAATTTTTTACGATTGGGACAATACAGTATTTGGTGCAGCCATCAAAATCATAAACGGCACATTTTGAAGTAAAATTAGTAAACTGTTAATACGAGCAAAATTGGAATTTTACTCGAAAGGGGCTAAACTATAGGTCTTCTACTTCACAGATTTTTTCAACACATTTCTGTCTCAACAAATTGATTTCCATATGAATCTTTGCAAGTCTCACATAAAGAGATTTCAAGACCCTTCAAATTACCTATCATTATATTTTCATATTTTTGAGTTTGATATTTTTTTTAGGTTTAAAATTTATAACTACATATATATATACACACACACATATGTATTGGGACAGTGGGAGTGAGGTCCTGCTCACAAGGTTATCCCTACCAATTAAAATTTATGGTGTTCATGTGCTCCCTGATTTGTTGGATTATGGTACATTAAGCCTTTTCATTGGGTTAGGATATTCAAGAAAAAAAATAATAGGTAAATTATAGTGATCACCCTTGTGATTTTAAAAAAATACAATAAGCTTATAAGTTTAGTATAATTATATTGATCTATTTTTTAGTAAGGTTAAATTGACCAGATTAGTATAAATGGTGGGTAGACGGGAGCTTCTATTTACACACACTAAACCCTCTTTATACACACACTTAATGAAGGAAGTGTGTAAAAAGTATAGTGAGGGAGATGTGTAGAAAGTGTATATTGTGTGTGTAAATAGAAGCTCCCTGGGTAGACACATGAATAAGTAAGGTAGAGTTTCAAAATTACTAAAATGGATACTAGCAGACATTCCATGTGGGACCAAATCTGTGAGCTTATCACCTCGCAACTGCGTTTGAATCTTAGATTTAGAGAGGAATTTGTGAATTGGAAAAGAAAAAAAAAAAAAGAAGTAAATAAAGTAGTTTTTTTTTTTCTTGTTTCTTTTTTACTATTTCTTTTCATTCTCTTTTCTTTTTTCAATAACAAATCTAAGATGGAAACATGACAAAACAAGAATACTAAATGGCATAGGCCATTCTTTTGAAGACCCCATTCTTTAATCTCATTCAATCAATGAACTAATGTTTCTAATGTAATTTGCTTGTTCTAGATGAAGCTTTAGGTATTGTTTGAACAGGGAGTGATCTTAAGCTTTAGGTAGCCTAATATACAATAGATTGGTTTGAATGGGTTTGCATTTGTCAAAGACATTGGTTTTTTTTTTTTTTTTTTTTCTGTCCAGTCTAACTTACACTCACCTTGACTAATTCCGAGTTCCTAAAGCTATGACCAAGCAAACTTCCAGTAGCCCTAAGGTTTGGGATGTTTGGCATTCATAAGATTGGAATCTGTGACTTCTTGGATAGTAAGTCCTTTGGTTCCTTTGTTGTGTGGGTTGGTTATGTGACCATGGATGAAGGCCTATATGGCTACCAAGTTGATTTAAGGAAGGTATTTATGATTTTTTGGATAGTAAGTCCTTTGGATTCCTTTGTTGTGTGGATTGGTTATGTGACAATGGATGAAGGCCCATATGGCTACCAAGTTGATTTAAGGAAGGTATTTATGATCGCCACAATGCTTCTAGCTTTATTAGTTTTTAATACGGATAATTATTCAATACTCTCAAAGTATTATTTTAGCACATTGATATAGTGTTCTTAGACTAATAAAAATTGCAGTCACAATAAGTGGAACTAACTTAATCTACTTCAGTTGGCTAGGTGAGAGACAAAATTGATAATATCTAATCTTTTTGTATGACCCTATTAGTAAGGAGTACCATGTTCACAAAAGTTAGTTTTTCGATAATGCTTCTATAGTATAGTATATATGTTAATGTATATGATAGATTGCCCCTAATGCTTTTAGTTCTATAGTGTTTGATGCAAGTAATTGTTTAGTATTTTTTGAGCACTAACTCAACAAGTTGACATGGTACTCTCAAATTAATAAGAGCAGTAGTTATCAGATTGGTAGTTGATCCCATTTATCCATTGATCGAGGAGTACAACCCGCGTACATTATATTGGTGATTTTAAGGCTATTAAATAATTTTTTTGAATAAAATGTAAATTAAAATGCAAAAGTTGTCAAGATCATAATCCTTGTGTGTGTGTTTTTTTATTTTATTTTCTTGAGCCTTGAGATTACGACAATTTAGGAGGAAACTAGATTGAAAACACCACCATGTGAAAGAGATCATTAGTTGTTTACATTTATCTGGATATTTATTATGGAACCTGTGTACCAAACTTGACTTGGGTGTTTCCAACTTGATTGTGCAAGTGTGTTGACAAGTCTTCATTTTTGTCCTAATAAAACAAATATGCCCCTGGAAATTGGAGAAAATAAAAAGCCCCTTAGCATGGGATTGAAGATTTTTTGTTTTCTCCGGCAATGTACAAAAAGGGAATTTCCCGCTCAACTTGTCTTCTTCCATGCCAAACAAACATAGAAATTCCATCAATAAATGAGCACATAGAAATGAACAATTTTAGGCATCTTTTGTAGTGTATATGCAATTATTATTATTATTATTAAAAATAATAAGCTTCTAATACCAAAAGAGAAAATATATATACTAGTTTTAAAAAGTCTGTGTAAGGTACGGGTTATTATTACATATATTTAAGTTTTGTATTTTGATAATTTTTTTAAAATAAAAATAGTATTTCTATGAAATTGAATAGAATAAATAATTAGATATATGACAAAATTATATAAATTGTCTTATAAATAACAGCAATTAGAAAAAATATCCTATCATTTTAACATAATTACATTCTTTTCTTTTTCAGTAAGATTAAAATGGTCGAAATTATTGCAGAGGATGTGAAGACACAAAGATAAGCAAAATAAAATATACGTTTTAGTATAAAAGTGGTAAAAAAAATAAATATTTTACATCTATATGACTAACGAATTATTAATAAAAATAAAGCTAAGTGTTATATAAATTAAAGTTTTAAAGGAGTCCAATATAATTATACCAAATTTGTATAAGTTAATATATTTTTAACACTCAGGTGTTTGTTCATGACTACTTGTGCTATTGTCTAAATACATATCAGCTTCAAATAGTCACCGAACTAATTATTCAATAATCTTTTATTTTAAATAAATATTTTTTGGGTTAATTCATTTTGTTAATATAATTTCCCCATCTAAAAAAAACTATTAAGATAATTCATTGAACTAATAAAGAAACAAAAAAATATATATATACAAATGATCAATTTTGTTAATAAATAAATCATACTCGCACAATAAATTAATGATTAATTTTATTAATAAGTAAATTATTAAGTAAATTAACAATTTTTAATGATATAAAAAATATTTTTTAGTTAAGTATTTTGTTAATAAATAAAGTATTAAGTCAATTAATAGTTTTTAATGATATGAGAAATGTTTTTCAAAAATAATTTTGATAATTTATTATTGCATAGGAGAATAGTTTTTTTTTTCTTCCTGATTATTGTGTTACATTAAAATTTATAATAAACGATAGTTGTAATTTCTAGTATTATAGGATCAATTTATATTTTAAACAAACCCTATGGATGTATTTGTAATTTGATAAAAAAAAAAATTAAAAGATTTATGTTTCATAATTGATCAAGAATGTTTGCGTAATTACGAAAAAAACTTCACTCAACATATAGGCTATCATTAGTAAATTATTCAAAATAAAAGGACAAAATAAGGAATATATATATATATATATATTACGATGAAACAGGCACAAGGACATGGCTAAACAAATTGAAAATCACCCAATGCAGTTTATAAGGCTGCTTATTACTTGTTTTTTTGTTTTGAAAATTTATTTTGTTGTATGTATTTGGATGAGAAGAAGTTTTTGTGAGAAAATTGGAAAGTAAGAATTTTCTTGTATTTTATTTTTTATAGAAGTTGAAGTTGAGTTATTATATTGATATGAGTAATACAAGAAATTTAACTTTTTTTTAATACTTTCTACCACTCATGATTAACAAATGCAAAGAACTTTATATATATGGAAAATATAACCCCTACTGATGTATGGACCATTGATGTGTTTGAATTTTTTTTTTTTAAGGTGTGTCTAACAGTGACATGAATAGTTTAGATTATTTTGGAGGTTGTCGTGGGGGTTATATTTTGTAGGGTCTCTATCATTACTGTATATATATATATATATATATATATATGTATATAAATTGTGTACTTTCAAATGCCTAGTTGTCC